CCCCAAAACCCCAAAACCCCAAAACCCCAAAACCCCACGGTGTTTGGATTCATTGAAACACAAGTTTTCAATTGAGAATTATTGCTAAAAAAATTAGGTTAATCATATTTTAGGGGAATTCTCATCTGAAGTATTTTGGCTTTGAGTTACTTGGTGTGGCCTCAAATTTCTACGTGAGTGAACCCGTGCTTGCTCAAGAGCCTCTTGACTGTCTTCAGCTGCATCCCACACTGGTTCAACCAGATCTTCTGCAGGCTAGCTCTGAAGTCTTCTTCTTTTGAAAGACCTTCGACCAGATTTTCGAAGTAGACTTGGTTGTTGGTCCAGTTACTGTAGTCCTTTCTTCCTCAAGCGCTCAAATCCAACACTTTGAGAACACTGCCTTTCAACTTGCCTCCGAAGTCAGGAACAGTTGGAAGGTAGAATCTACAATACTGGAATCCGAGTCTTAGCATGTGCTTGCTGGCACAGACAAGCGTCTTTAGCTGAGGCTCACAGACTTCAAAGTTGTAGATGGAGAACACCTCACGAACTCAGGCACTTGCTTTTGCCAAAGCATCAGCATAAAAAGGCAGACCTGTAGATAGAGGCGAAGAACAGTTGAAGTTGAAGAGCTTCAGCTCTTCAGGCAAAAAATTTCCCAGGAAAGTTTTAATTTTCTGGTTGTCGGCAGGCACTCCATTCAGGTCTATTCTGTTCAGCGTAGGCATTCTACGATTCAAGTAGCCCAGAAACTCCATGTGCTTAGGATTGGTCAGCTCGAGTCTCAGTGTGGATTCCGAGTTGAATTCAGTCGGGTTGGATTTCTTTCCACGAGTAATCTTTTTGGGAGCAGGGCTAGGATTTTGGTAAGAGGTGGGTTCTATAGCAGTGAGCAAGGCTGTGTTATGCACAACGGAGATTGAGCAATTTAGTAAATTTGAATTTAAGTCAGTTTAAATAATGAGTTAATTAAAAATATTTTCATTTCCACAATTTCCTGAACTATATTTTTAAAGTTCCGTCAAGTCTCCATTCAATGTACTAATAATTTATGAGTCCACTAAATTATTCGTTGAATCATTAGTTCTGATAATTTGAGTTTTAAGTAACATTTAAATATTTTAACACGTAATCCATCATTCTTGTTAGATGTGATACTTCAAAAATGAGCAAAGGCATTTTCGACTAATGAATCTAGGTTTAAGTATAGTATTTCTATAATTTATCATATCTGCATTACCTAAATCTAAACTTATATTCTAAGTCTGCCCTAACAGGACAAATGGCTCATCTATTACATTGATCCAATGGCTTTGAGACTAATTACAAAGGAACCACCAGCTAGAATAAATTGGAGGGTGCAAACTTGGAATAGTAGTCAATTCAAGCCTTGATGGTCATCTTAATAGCCATCTCTGCTAACTTTACTTTTAAGTATTTATTTTAATTTGCTTTAAATTAAGTTTAATGAGACCTAAAACTAAAGAGTCTGGTAAGACTACTAAGACTTGTTGATAAATAGCAGCATTAGAAGGCTTAACCTCTTTGGTTCAAACCACAGAGCTGTAATGGCCAATGACTTCTCTAAGTGAGCCTTGTTCTGTCATATTTAGTATTAGGTTGTCCAAATGAGGAATATATTCTCTGTCTTATAGTTTCAATAATGTTGCGACTCCATTAAATTATAGATGCAAGTAAACAGTTGGTGTGAAGAAAGGAAGCTTTCACAAATTGTGATAGTGGAATTATAAATTAGGATAGAGTTGATCTCTAATCAAGACACGCAAGAAGCCCTGTTTGCATGATTTATGACCATTACAGAGTTTTAATTCTTTAGCAGCATTTAGATGCCGGCATCTTACCTTGACCTCTTGAATTCCGATTTTGTTCCAGTTCTTCATTCTGTTGTTGTAGTCTCTTGGTCTTTTCCTTGAGATTCTTGATGGTGAGTTGTTGCTTCTCCAGTTCTTCCTGAAGTTTGTTCTTTTGCTTGGGTATTACCCCACTAAACCAAGATGGAATTTCTGAATCTTGGTCGAGCTTTCTGAATAATTTTAGTTAAAGATCGAAACACAATAACCATTTGAGCTATTGTTTCTCTAGAAGTTGAAGCCATGCAGTTGAGCTCTGGAGAAGCAAGAAAACTTTTGGAATGTATCCTAGCATTTGTAGGATGCACAAATTAGAGCATTGACAACTAAAGAACTTGGAAGTTCTCTCTCAGGCTAATATGTTCGATTGTTCAACAAGATATAAAAAATTGCTAAAGTTCATATCTGAGTGATTTATTAAAAGAAGCTGTCTTAAATTAATCAGTAAAGAACTCAGAGATAAAGCATGTTCTAGTTGCTAGAATTAACCTAAGATGATACAGTTGAAGTATTTGCTCACATAATTTAAATAAATCATTGAAAATCTTATCGAGAGGAGCAACACTGAGCTATTGGTAGATTTATTGAACCAGGCTGAAGAAGACAAGGCCATCATATCTCCCCACCAGATATGAAAGATAAACTTACTCTTGCATGATTTCCCACATTATATAGCAAGCAAATCTTGAGAACGTCTCATCACCATCCATGTTTGCTTGGATATTTCTGGCTTTTCAGATTAGATCTCCGAATTCATGAAACAGCCCTTGTTCATAAGCGTGAATGATGTCATCTCTGAGTTTTTGCACTTGGAGGGTGAACTCTTGCTGAAACTTTAGTGTTCTCTCATCAGGCTTCTTGTGGCATTCATTTTGGGTGAAATATGTGAAGAGTCTGAGCATTTGGTCGATAACTCCAACCTTCTTTGCAACAAATTCTGGAGAGACGAGTCACTCTCCCTCATCTTGCCCATAAAAATGCTCATAACAGTAGTACATTTTCAACTTCTTCGTAGTCATTTTGGCTATTTCACAGCAAGTTTCAACACGACACTTTGGCAAATATTCCATTTTATGCTTTAAATAATTTTATAAAATATTTAAGCCCTCTCTTTAATAGGTTCAGCCTCTGAGATGATCTCGGGGTTTTGGGGTTTTGGGGTTTTGGGG